CGACTGGATGGGCGGCGGAGGGTGGCCCCGCTGGCCGCGGCCCCGGCGGGGGACGAGCCGCTCCTCAGGGGCATCTTCGAGATCGGCAAGAGGAGCTGCGACGTGGTTCTGAGCGCCCGGCGGCTCCGCTGGAGCCCCATCCTGCCCGAGAGCCCCACAGGTGGGACGGGGCAGGGCGGGGCAGGGGTGTCCGCCCGCGCCGGGCCGCGGCGAGCGGGGAGAGGCGGCCGGGGCTCTCCGGGCAGCTCACCCTAAACCGGGATTGCTGTAAAGTGCTTAAAGGCAGTGCTGTCGGGCACCTCTGTTCCCTTCGAGGTTCCTTTGAAGACTGAAAAGAAAAAGAAATTGTTCGAAACGCTTTGAGTGTCTTGTACCTGTACCAGCTCTCTCTAGCAAGAGCCTTGTCTTCTTGGTGGGTCATACGAAAGGGACAGAAGGTAGAGAGTATGTTTTTATGGCCTCTTTAGCCCCAGGCAGAGCAGTAAGAGGATTTGATTTTGTTTCTGCGGCATCAACTTTTCCCGGCTTATACTCTTTGGCAGGTACATAAACTAGAGCACAGAGAGGAGAGTATGGTTTTGCAGGATGTGCCTGACTTTTGTGTTGAGGCTTCTGTTGCAGATTGTCATTGCTCTGTGGTGTTCACGCGGCAACGTGCTGAGAAAGTGTGGTTCCAGGATTTGATCAAGTGAAACAAATTATGTACAAAAGTTTAAGAAGCAAAGGAATGCTGCTTGAATGTATCCAAATAGATATTTTTTTCCTAGAAACTGTGAAAACATATACGTAGTTGTAAAACTGCATATACACTCCTGAACTCCTAAAAGTGCTTGTTTATTTCAGTGACCTCCCAGTGTTTACATGAAAGAGAAATCAAAGTTGTATTCAGGAATGCTGTTTCCAGGCAGCGTGTTTGCCTTCTGGGATGGCATGTTTAGCTTGTCCAGGCTTAAAATACCACGTTTATTTTAGAAGTGTATTGGACAGAACTTAAAAGTTCCTGTAGGTAAGATCTCATCACCATAGAGTCAGCATTTAGAGAAGCAAAGAAGCAGTCAGATGCTCGCAGGAGAAGTCATTATGGCTCATTTAGTGTGAGCATGTTGGGATACCGGAGCTGCCGAAACTGAGCAAATACACAGTCATGCCCTGCTGTTGACTCCTCTCCTCTGCGTGGTGTCACCGTGTTAATGCAGTGCTACACTCACACTTAAATACCTGCTTTTCAGCCGGACCGCTGAGTTCTGATCGCCCCCGCACCCGGTGTGGGGCACAGCCCTTCCTCTTGGGGAGCCAGTCTGGGTGCCTGAAGTAGTGCTGTTCGTGCTGAAGGCTCTCTTCCTTCTCATTTGGGACTATCTACAGGTCTCTGCATATGTGATCTGTAATGTGATTTATTAATTATTTAGTTCTGCCTGTAGAGCTCTAATACGAGTGTCACTTTATGTTCTGCCTCCTTTAATGTAGGCTGCATTGCCATATATCAGGAACTAGGGTCTGTAATTGCCTTGTAATTGTCATCACTGAAGGATATTAAGGTTCAGACAGGAAGAATAGATTCTAGTGTATATTGCTCCATGCTTCCAGAGATGGGGAGTATATTCTGTGGTTTGGGATTTGTAAGTTTTTGGCTTTTTTTTTTTTTTTTTTTTTTTTGCTGGTTTGGTTTGTTTGTTTTCCTTGGAAAAATTCACCCCTCTCAGTTGCTACTTTCATACAGACATCAGAAACTTTTCATAGCTCCTGAAAGGTAATGACGTGTGCCTATAGCAGATGGCAGGACTTCAGGACTCCTGTGGAAAGCAGCACTGACAAACTGCTGCAAATTTTATCAGGATTTGGGCTTTTACCGCATGTGTATTAAATACATGGTGAAACTTCTTTCTCTGACAATTTGGTTTTATACTATGTGGCATTGAGCTGCTGAATAGTTTCATTTTTGAGAGGCTGCAGTTGCAGCAGTCAAATGCAGATTCTGGTGCTTGAATGTTTTTTCTTTCCCTCGTTCTTGGCTCCCAGCAGCACTTACCCTGGGGTGTTCTGTACTGGTGCTGGGAGGAGACACCTGTGGTAGGGTCTCATTCATAGGTAAGTACAGCAGTGAGTGTTCAGAGATGGCTAAAGGCTCTCTGGACAAGTCTTTCCACTGGGATTTGGCTTATGCATGTTCTCTCCTACCCAAATCTTCCTAATATAGTTTGCCTGAGGCTCTAAGAGGTCAAGTCAGGTCTTCATGCTTTGCAAGTGCTGCTGAATGTCTCTTGCCTGGACTCTTATGTCGTGATGCTTCCTATTTTAGGGAAAGGTCTTTCTTCTACGGCAATTGCTACAGTCTGTCGAAATCAGAGAACTATAAGGTAGTTGCTTTGTTCCCTTTTTCCTAACCTCCCACCTGCCATAGTTCTCCAGATGAATTCCTGTCTTGCTGAAGTTGTCGTTTGTCATCCACAGCTCTGCAGTTCTGATTATTTGCTCTTACACGTGGTAGTTTGTGCAGCCCTGGCTCCTCCAGATTGTACCAGAGCTCAAAGCTGCAGCTTCCAAGCACGGGGCATCTGCTGTGCCTGGGCCCAGTGATGTATGTGTAGTTCTGCTCCACTGTGCTGTTCCTGGGGGGCTCTAGGCAGCCTGATTATCAGGAGGACTTCCTTCTTTACTCTGTCCTGGAGTTCTGCAGCTTCCATCTCCAAGAGGTTTTTGGCTACCCATGCTTGCTGATGATTTTTCATGGCTTCCTTCATTATTCATTCTACAGCAAAGTTCCTACCTCTGAAATAAGCATGACCCATTATGAATTTATTGTGTTATTTGTTATAACAGAGCTTATGGCAGAAGTGAGTCTTGGGCAGGCGACTGGATGTGGAGCCTGAGAGAGAATCTGTCAGGTGGGAACGTGGGCAAGCGTGAGGCAGGGCTCAGCTGCCCCCTTGGAAAGGCTGCAGCTCCAGCCTGGGTGTGCAGCTGAGCCCGTTCTCCTCCCTGGAGGCAGAACCCCTCTGACCCATAGCTGGTTGCTTGCTTTTCACAGTGCACTGGCTGCCTCAATGAGACACAGAGCTCACAGTCAGTAGTTGGTAGTTTGTCCCTCTAGCTTCTTTCTATGTTGCATTCCTATATTATAACCATGGAAATTAAGAAAAAGGAAAGACTTCTCTATTGATATTCCAGCCCTGAACTGTGGAGGTTCTCATACTGAGTGCTGCTTCAAAACTATAGCAAACTATCTTAAGTACAGATTTGAATATTATATGTGATTTTTCTAAGTTCCCAGTTTAATTCTGATAATTTTTAAAGCCTCCAGCATGTTTTTAAAGTTTGCCACAGAGTTTCTGGATTAACAATAATTGCACTTTTTCAGCAGATTTCTGCCATGTAGGAAGTCTAACAAAACTGGCAATTGTCCAATGCTTTACCAGTATTGATCATCCTGAAAAACTTTGTAAGTGTAATTTCTTGTGTGTTTAGTACTAAACTACTTCAGTTTAGTACTACACTGAATGATATATGAAGTTATTCTCTGACTGACAGTGTGCAGGCTGTGCTGACTATTTGGGTAATAACATTAATAATTTGGATAAAACTTGCTTTTTAAGTATAGGTAATTGAACATAATTTCTGAATTAATTAATGAACAAGCAAATAAGATCTTGGAGCAGTCCAGAGGCTAATGTACTATTAAATATATATTTCACAATGAATCAAATAATATATATTTTTATAATGAATTTAAACAAATCAATATATTAAGTATACTACTCTTATCTATAGCGTGCTATAGTTCTTGTTGATATTAATCTAAAATTTACATTTATAGATATTCTTTGTAAGTGCAGCAATAAGGAAAAAGAATCACTGATGTATTTCAACAGTGAAGAGTCAGCAATAAAGGACTTAAAATTAATTCCGAGTGCATAGTGGCCTGTTGCCAAGGCTATTTAGGAACAGATGTGGCTGAAATAGATACCAATAGTCTGTTTGGGATCTCTAAAGTAAGACATCTGTCAGTCTATCGGTCAGTCAGGAATAATGGAAATGGAAACTGGCTGTTACAAAATGTGAATGACTGAAGTTCCAAGAGAACTGAATTCAAAGCTTTTGATTCTACGTCTGACATGTAGAGAACATATTTTCTCCAAGTGGCTTATCTGTTATCCAAACAGAAAATCTATTTTTAAGGAAGACACATAAAAAATATGAAATGTAACTGAAAGTGAGGTGTTCATGTGCCACATTAACATATGGCTTTAAGATGTGAATTGAAGGAAGAAAGCATGCAGTTTTAAACAATCCCATGGTGTCTCAACTTATAAGACACTCAAATTTTTTTCCAGGAAGTCTGTAAAATTAATGTCTGTTAGAAAAATGCTGCATGAAGCTGCAAAATAATTTACCAATCTACAATGTACTGTGGAAATAAGATATACTAATTAAAGGAGTCTTAAAATTTGTTCTTTATTTCAGGGGACTTTTGAACGTAATATTTTGTGGTTTTTTTTTTTCTTTTATCAGAAGATCAGTTGATGTGTTTGTGGCACAACTTAGGTTTTTTTTCATTCTTTCTGTTCTTTCTTGTATTTCACACATTTATGCACCTCTTTGCTTACACTGAAAAGGGCTAACATCCTCTGGATACCTAATAGGGCCTTGTATGTGCACTTTAATTCTCCAAAGAGAGGGATCAGATATTTAAATCTTTGTTCCAAGAAAAAAGTTTCTACGCTAGTTCTTGAAAATTGTATTTGTGTGTTCAGGTTTGCATACACATTAAGTTCTGCTTATGTTAGTGAGTTGGATTCTGTTGCAATGGAAATTTGAAATAACAGGATTTATTTAGCTTTCATAGAAAGTAAGCCTTCTTTATGGCCTGTTTAACGCAAAACTTTCTGTTGATGAATTTGTGGTTTGTGTTATCTTAAAGCTCTTGTAGGCCATAAACTCAGCAAGTTTTAGCCTTGGATAAAGGTTTTGCTTTTGTGGTTGGGTTTTATCCTTTGTTTCTCCTGTAGCACTGTGCAATAATTAAGTCTTTGCCATGTTCTATGATTACAGATAAGGCTGTGCTTTGCTTTATTGCTGTCCTCTTGCTGCCTGGGGAGCGGGGCTGGTGCATGGCTGGGTGCCTGGCACGGCGCGTTGGGCACCATCGGGCAGCTGGCACAC